AGGGGCAGAGCGCGGGCATGGGGGGGCGCTGCCCGTGCGGGGAGGGGCAGAGCGCGGGCATTGGGGGGGGCGCTGCCCCTGCGGGGAGGGGCAGAGCGAGGGCGGGCTGTGGTGAGCTACCCTAGAGCGGGTTGTGATCCCACTCCACTAAATGGGCCCCAGTGGGTGCGGCCCCCTTCACTATAATATTCCCAACGCAGGTGAGGGGCTGGCAGGCTTGAAGCATCTTGCTCCCCAATGGTGCAGGAACTCGGCCGGAGCTGGGGTCCCTAGGGCTCATTCAGGCTTGGGGGCAGCAGACATCGTGCTTGTGCCCCTGGGGATGCTTCATATTGCTCCTTCCTTCCTGCTTGGCCAGCACCAGTAGCACTAACTCCTTGTGCAAAGTGGGGGGCAGGGAGAGCTTGCCCCATGTCAGTGCTGGGCATTGAATTCATACCTGTCAAGGGGCTTCAAATTGTTGCAGAACTCCAGACCAACAGCAATATTTCTATTGCCTTTTTAAAGGGAGACCTATAGAGACTATGCTTTGAGCACACATCTTCTATTGCAGTCTTTGCAGGACTAGCTACTTGAAATAAAAAAGTATTACAAACATGCTACTGGCTGGGTGACTTCTGATTATCGGACTGAAGGAAAAGGGAAGAGGGGGCACTGGATGGTTTATGATGTGACTGTATTGAGTAACCAGTACCCCTCTTCCTGTCAGCTGGGAAACTGCCGCCTTTAGGCAAGGTCTCTGCAAAGTGTTTGCATGTCTGGTTATGCAAAGTGAACGTGCTGGGCTAGCTTTTGGTTCCAGCAGCCAAAAATGAATGCTTCCTGATGGTCTGCCTATCTTGGCTCCTCCAAGTAGGGTTTACAATTAAAAATTAACATATGGTTAGCGGGTAACAAATGAAATCAGGTGGTGATTTTTATATCACATCTGTTGTACATGTCCTATAATAGTTCAGGGATCATCTGTATTCTAACACAACTTTTTGTTTATAGTGAGGCCTGGACTTCTTGGGCTACTACAACACTGATCTGTAGCGGTTGTCCCACACCTACTACATGCCAAAAGCATGTTAGCCTAATGTTGGCAGACAGCTGTGTGTGGGTATGCTTAGAATTGCATGTGTGTGGGTATGCTTAGAATTGAATGTATGGGCCCAGGGAGGCAGTTGCTTTTCCCAGCATCATACAAGTAATGTACCATTTGTTTCTTTAAATATCCACATGACTGTGTCCTGTCTCCTAAAAAGCTTAAAATTGTTACACTCTGTACAAGACGATATGCTAGTAAGCAGAGCGCCAACCTGGGCTCTTCATTTACAGAGAACCAAAACATATGCTAGGGTGCTGGAAAGTAGGTGGCTGCAACTCTTCTAAGGGATCCCTTCTGTGGACTCATACACTGGATTCATGTGAGAACAAAACTGGCTAGTACTAGTGGCCAATTGGAGTCTAGCAGCCCCACTGATAGATTGTAGACACACAGAATGAAAATAGTACCTAGCGTTTACATCATGAGTAGCTCTTAAAGTGCATCACAATGGATGTCAGCAGCATCCATGTTTAACACATGGGGAAACTGAGGTAAAGGAAGGTGAAGTCCCTCCACCCAGCATTACCCACTCAGTTCCAGAACTGGCAATAAAACCCAGATCTCCTGATTCCTATTCCAGTGTTCTCTGTGCACCAAACAGTTACCAATTTTAACATAGAACTAGAAACACAAACAAAATCACCCTGAGAGCAGGTTAAATGTTTGTAGCAGATATCCCAGTCCTTACTGTGAGACAAGCTCAGCAATGAGTGGGCAAACATCCCCTGAACGTGTATAGATAAAACTCAAGCACTGTCAAACAATACACTTCAGATTGTTTAAGCAAAAGAAACTTGCTCTGGTTTATTAAAGTCAATGATTAGCAAATTCTCTCCCCCTCCCCCTCCCCGCTTCCCCAACAGCTGAACAAAGCAGTTTCTCTCCCCATTTCCCTTGCCTTGTCAGGTCAGTTCTGTCAAACACCGGCAGACACCAGGGCTGTGTCTAGACTGGCAAGTTTTTCCGGAAAATCATCTGCTTTTCCGGAAAAACTTGTCAGCTGTCTACACTGGCCGCTTGAATTTCCAGAAAAGCACTGATGATCTCATGTAAAATCATTAGTGCTTTTCCGGAAAAACTATGCTGCTTCCGTTTGGGCAAAAGTCTTTTTCCGAAAGACTTTTGCGCAAAAGGGCCAGTGTAGACAGCATAGTACTGTTTTCCGTGAAAAAGGCGATCGGGGCTTTTTTGCGGAAAACCGCGTCTAGATTGGCCACGGACGCGCTTTTGCGGAAAAGCATCCTGCCAATCTAGACGCGCTTTTCCGAAAATGCTTTTAACGGAAAACTTTTCTGTTAAAAGCATTTTTGGAAATTCATGCCAGCGTAAACCTAGCCCAGGGCTGTCTCTAGACTGCATCCCTTTTCCATAAAAGGGATGCAAATTAGACACATCGCAATTGCAAATGAAGCAGGGATTTAAATCCCCCCTGCTTCATTTGCATAAACATGGCTGCCGCTTTTTTCCAGCTCGGAGCTTTGCCGGGAAAAAGCACCATTCTAGACGCGGATCTTTCGGAAAATAAAGCCTTTTCTGAAAGATTCCTTATTCTAGCCTAGTTTATGCAAATGAAGCAGGGGGGATTTAAATCCCTGCTTCATTTGCAATTGCGATGTGTCTAATTTGCATCCCTTTTACGGAAAAGGGATGCAGTCTAGACACAGCCCAGATTCCCACTTTCATTGGCAGTCCAGTCTTAATTCTAAAAGTGGTGATAAATTAACTATTTTGTGAAATATAGAAAAAATCTGAACCCTCAGGGTGTATCTATGCTGCATTGTAATGAAATAAGATATGCAATTTGTGTAGCTCAAATTGTGTATCTTATTTGAATGTTATTTCAAAATAGCTTATTTTGTCAGTTTCTAAATCAAGCGCTATTCTTAAATGTCCTTTGCTCCTTGTAGAATGAGGTTTGCAGGGACATTGGAATAGTGAGCCTGAAATAACGGCCTTGCTGTGAAGATGCGGGATAGCTTTTTTGGGATACTCCAATGTAGACATTCCTCATTGCACTCCCTTCAGTATAGGATGCGGCTGTTGAATTGGTCTGAATGTTCTGTTCTGAACTGCATTCCTTCCTTTTGCATATGGGACTCAGGTTGCCTTACAAATATCAATGAATTAACCTGCCTTCTTAGCCCAGGAGTCAGTGCAGTAATGTCATCCCCATTGTACAGAGGGAGAAACAGGCGGAGCTATCACCTCAAAGGCATTTAGGTGCCCAACTGCCTCTGGGAATCTGAATGTCAGCCGCTTTCCCAAACTCTCAATGATTTGTAAGTGTGGGAACACAATCCAAAGCAGTCCTCCATCCTAGTACTCACATACTAGCCCGAGATGGCTCTTGGGTTGGACATGATTTGCTAGGGTTAGGCTTTGCAGCCTGACCACCTAGTGACTAAGTCTGGCCTCAGGGTTAGTCCCAGGTAGGCTGCCAGTGCTCTATTTATCTGCACGTCTGCAGTAAGGACCAGGACAGCACTTCCTGCAGCTCCCCTTGACTAGCCCAGGAACAGCAATCCATTGCCAATGGCAGTTGCAAGCGGATGTCCCTGCGGATGAGAGGCAGCAGCGTGCGAGGTGGGGAGGCAGGTGGGAGCTGGTAGACATGAAAAGCGGCTTTCAAGCCAGCTCCCATGCGTATCGGCTCCTGCCTGTTTCCCCTCCCTCCCCTCTGCCATGTGTAACCACTAGAATGTCAAGCATTTACACAAATACCCGATAGCTAACATCCCTAGTTCCAAGTGTGAGTGTGTTCTCTGTCGCTTTCTCCTTGGGTCTCTTGGTTTCTTTCATTCTCTTCATATCCCACTCATGATTTCAGTTCTACTCTACCTTGCTTCCTGCCCTCTCACTCCAGGCTGTGGGTTGTGGGGGCTGCAGTAGCTATATCATAGAACTGGAAGGGACCTCAAGAGGTCGTCCAGTCTCCTGCCCTCACGGAAGGACCAAGCACTGTCTAGATCATCCCTGACCGGTGTCTGTCTAACCTGCTCTTCAGTATCTCCAGTGACGGAGATTCCACAATCCCCTTGAGGCAATTTATTCCAGTGTTTAACCACCCTGACAGTTAGGAATTTTTTTCCAATGTCCGACCTAAACCATCCTTGCTGCAGTTGAAGCCCATTGTTGCTTGTCCTATCCTCAGAGGCCAAGGAGAACAACTTTTCTCCCTCCTCCTTGTAACACCCTTGTAGATACTTGAAAACCGCTGTCACATCCCCTCTCAGTCTTCTCTTTTCTAAACTAAACAAGCCCAATTCTTTCAGTCTTATCACTCACGTTTTCTAGATCTTTAATTATTATTGTTACTCTTTTTTGGACGTTCTCCAATTTCTCCATATCTTTCTTGAAGTGTGGTGCCCAGAACTGGACACAGCACTCCAACTGAGGCCTAATCGATGTAGAGTAGAGCGGAAAAATGACTTCTCGTGTCTTGCTCACAACTCTCCTGTTAATGCAAAAAAAGCAAACATGATTCTGGGCTGCAACAGTTTTAGATCTCTCAGCTCTTTTTGTTTTTAGCACAGCCCTCAACATGCTTGCTTGCTGTTTGAAGAGCTGCTGGAAGGATTCTCCTGCCATGTGTTACCACCTCTCAAATGCATCCTTATCCTCTTGTCCTCTCTGAAAGCCTGTTCAAACAAACACACTTTGCAGCCTGGCCTGGAGCAGATGGAGGTGTTGTTTCACACTGTGAGGACTGTCCCTGAGAACGCCCTCCCAGCAGGAGCTCCGATCCACGCAGGGGGTTGCCAGCTCTGGGTGCCTTAGCTGATGGCAGCTGTCATGGTATCGGGTTCCAGGGGTGAGGTTGTCCGTGGAGATTCCATCAGAGCTCGGTGCTTTCCTTACACAACCCACTTGGCACTCACCTTTGCATGCTCCCTGGGAAGTCGGGGCAGTGGTTTTCAGTTATCCCTGGGACAAGGCGCCTTGGCTGGTGGGTGTCCTGCCAGCTCTCGCTCATCACTGAGCAGACAACTCTTGCTTTCTGGCAAGGTGGCTTAAAGAACAGCTGGTGCCTGATGGAAAATTCTCAAAGGCCTTTTCATTGGAAACAATCCTGCCATTATTGACTCAGCCTTGGATTAGCAGAACCACGGCTATTGTTCTGCACTCAGAGAGAGCTGTTTATAGCCTGCACTGGGGGTGGGTCACGCCTCCCTATTGGCCTCCCTCTGCCTACTCAGAAAGTTCATCTAAAAAAAATCCCTTCTTCTCCTGACTTGGTTCTCCACTTGGCTGGGCTGGGAATTGCTGGTCCCAGGAAGAGTCCTGGCGAGAGCGAGGCCCTACCTCTTCAATTCAGTGGTGGGTCTTTCTCTCCAGTAGTGGGGGCGTGTGAAAGGGGCTTTCCCTGATACCCACAGGGATTGGGTTTCTGCTTTGCCTAGCCCGGGCAATGTGGCAGCCTTTGCTAGTGACCTCCCCATGTCTATCAGTCTGCAGCCTGCCCCTTCTCCACGTAATGGTTTGTCCTAGAAATATCATGTGTGGTTCTTTAGATCCTCTCTGCAGGCTTCAGCTCCCAGCACTCGGTCCCTTATGCAATCTGAATACCAGGTAGACCCGAAGCCATGGGAAGTCTTAGTCTCTGTAACCGACGTGTGCGCTCTCCTTTGCATCCTGTAGCATGTTGGTCCCTTCAGCCATGGTGCATTGGCTCTGGTTGTCCCCAGGAGTGTTAACCAGTGGTATTGGTTAAGGTGGGCAAAGTGTGAGCAGTGCCACCGGGCCTGGTGGGCAGCACCTCCTGCCACTCTAGCTCTGAGCTAATAAAAGAGAGTTCTTCTTCACACAGCGCATAGTCAACCTGTGGAACTCCTTGCCAGAGGAGGCTGTGAAGTCTAGGACTATAACAGAGTTTAAAGAGAAGCTAGATAATTTCATGGAGGTTAGGTCCATAAAAGGCTATTAGCCAGGGGATAGAAATGGTGTCCTTGGCCTCTGTTTGTCAGAGGCTGGAGAGGGATGGCAGGAGACAAATCGCTTGATCATTGTCTTCGGTCCACCCCCTCTGGGGCACCTGGTGCTGGCCACTGTCGGCCGACAGGCTACTGGGCTAGATGGACCTTTGGTCTGACCCAATACAGCCGTTCTTATGAGCTCCCTCTGAGACTGGAGTAGCTGACCATGATTCCCAGTAAGAGCTATGCATTATGGGCCCTCAATTAATCCTCCTTGAGTTTGCTTTGGACAGCCCCCACCCTTTGCTCGGCTTGGCCTAGCCTCTCCCATTGGAGTCAGTGTTTTTGGCCGGGACTCCAGGGGGAGCAGAGTTAGGCTGATAATGGGTGCTTGGAAAATCCTGCCCCATATCCAAACCAGGCTCTGGATTGTAGGGAGGAGTGGTCAGGGCTCACCTGCAGAGCCACCAAGTGCCCCTGTATCCTCTCCACTCTTTAATGTGCCTGGGCGTAGTCTCCCCTGACCCCATTGCTGCTTTGACCAGACACGCACAGGGAGGCTGATCAGTGGGCAGTTTCTGCTGTTTTCACTGGATGGGGCCCGGTGATAAGGGCACTGTGCACTCTGAAATGCATGGTCATCTCTCCCCTCGGCGTTTGGGAAGGGGAGGAATGCCCTGGGGTCTGGTCTCCATCCCAGGACCCCGCAGCCTCACCGCTGCTCTCCAAACAGGGTTACGCTAACCAGAGTGTGTGAGCTGGTGAGTGTGTGGACTCTGGTCTCTTATGTATCCCCCCCACTGCTACGATTGTGTTTAACTGGTGCGAGTCAGTCTAGCCAGTCTGGTCTCTCTAGCACTGAGGGCAGACTCCACTGGTGAGCGCGGCCCTTCCTGCTCAGGTGGCTTGTTAGTGATCAGCCCCCTGCTGACTCTCCTAGGATGGCCAAGGCAGCGCTCACCAGGTCCTGACTTCCAGCTGGCGGGGGTAGCGTGGGGGGGGGGGCAGCGTGTTACTCGTGCTTCCGTTGCCCTGGAATGAGACTCAGGCAGCAGCCTAGCAGGGGTTCGGCTGGCTTGGTTGTTTGCTCTTGTAGGAGAGGCCTTTGGCTTTGGAGCTCGCTGTCCACTTGGTCTGACGAAGCCCCTGTCTCTGCTCTACGATCAGGCAGCATCCTCCCCTCTCTCTGGATTAAGCCTTGCCCTTGCCCCAAGGACAGGGCAGGGCTTTTCTTGGCAACTGGAGCAACGGTAGCATGAGAGTCCAAGCTTTGTGGCCTTAGTTAGACTGGCTGTAGGGATTCTCTGCCCAAGCCTGATTTGCTCTGCCCTGACCTACCCCAAGTGAGCAGGGACAGGTCAGCACGTCAGCAGGTACCTTGCAAAGCTGGGCTGGGGCGGCGTTTGGGTAATCCATGTTCTGTGTGTGTTACAGAGGATGCGCGCTCCTGGGAGCCTCTTTGCACGGAGCTGCTGGTGTCTGTCGCCACGCCGCATTGCGATGGCTTTCCCGACATGGACTCGGTGGAGAGCTGTAAGCATCAGCCAGTCACTCAGCGAGAGCTGCGCTAGCTGGCTCAAAGATCTTGGCCAGCTTTAAGCCGGGCGGTCATTGGCTGCAGCCAGAGAGCGTTGCCGGGAAGCTCTGGACGCAGGGTGTACGTGGCTGTGCAGAATGTGCCTGCCTTTCGGAATAATGGCCCCTGTCAATGAGACAGTTAAAGCAGGAGTCTCCTATTCCCTGGAGCCCACAGTGCTGGGGACCTATGGTCCCCCTGGGTCACTGCTGTGGAAAACATCAGTACTCTGTCTGTTATACCCAGGTGCCCAAGTCCTGCCTCACTGCAAGCAAGTGGCTCTGTGGGAGTGTGGGACTGTTGGTGGGCCTACAGGTGTCCGAGCTATAGAGTACTCTCTACCCTTGATCTCCTGGCAGATTGGTGGCAGAGCATTTTGACTTGAGCCTGTGTAAATGGGAAGGCTAAGGAGGGGATTGGTTGTATCTGGTTCCTGCCCATCTTCCATTCTTGCAGAAGTCCCCCTTTCAGTCTCCTGTCTGTTGGTGCACGCTCGTTAGTGCTGGAGTCTCAGGAGTGCCGAGGCACTAAGCGAGGCGGACGGTGAGGCTTGGACTCTGGTGGGCTGGAGGGTCCCTGGGGAAAGCCATCCAGAACTTAGCAGCATCCGCCTCAGTCCAGGCCCTGGCACCGGGGAGGGCTGGGTCGGCGCTGCTAACAGCCCTGTGGTGCTGTGTTTCAGACAAGCTGTCCACGTCTGAGGAGCTTTCGCTGCTGTCTGCAGAGAGCATCTGGGGAGCCCTCCGAGGTGAGGCTGCATTTGCTGCTTGTGGTGCCTGGCCCTAGGAACGATTTTGGGGGACCCCTGCTGCTGCCTCTGCTCCCTGGCCCACCTGCTGGAGCATCACCCCGCTCCAGCGTGGTTGTGAATTGGGCTCCGCTCCTTAGGGAGGACTCCGCACCCAACGCCTGACTCTGTCTGCTTCCCGCAGGCCTGGAGACCTTCAGCCAGCTGGTCTGGAGAGACGAGGCCGGGACGGTGAGTGCGCACACATTGATGCCATGCAGGTGGGGGTGCGCTGCCCTGCCTTGCTGCGGCTGGACTGCCAAGTGCCATCCGCAGCCCAATGGAGGTGCCCCTGCCCGACCCTCCTGTGCCCCGGGGAGGCAGCTAACACTGCTGTAGCGCGTGCGCTCTCCTGGGGACAGTGGGCTGTTTGGGTATTTGCTCTGGGCCTTCCCCGGCGGGCTGCTCATCTCCCCGGGGCCCTTTCTTGCAGTTCTACCTCAACAGGACGGACATCGTGGACTTTCCCCGCTTCGCCCACCGGGGGCTGCTGCTGGACACGTCTCGCCACTACCTGCCTGTGCGGGCAATCCTGGAAACACTGGTGCGTGCCCGGGCATGTGCCCCGCCTTGCTGCCAGGCTGGCTGGCCTCTGCTGTGGGCTTGTCGGCAGAACAGTCTGGTTGGCCACTCCCTTCTGTGGGATAGCTGGGGGCTTCTTGAGGGCCTCTGGGTCTGGGCCCGGCAGTGGCTGCAGCTGTGTTTGACAGGGCTGCGGTCAGATGGTTCCTCCTAGCCATGGCCAGCCCCTGCAGCCAGGTACAGCTAAAGCGCCATGGCAGCGCTCATGGGCAGGGAGAGGAGCTCCGAGTGAAGCTGCTTGGTGGGTTTCAGCCAGAGCACAGAGAGGGGGGTGGATCGGCACCAAGGACAGATGCTCCGAATGGTGCACGCTCCTGGCTTGCTGTCCTCCTTAGGCGCCTTGCAGGGTTCACTCCTTTGGGAACTCGCAGCTGCCTCCTTTGGACTGTTTTCGTTCTCTGTGTGGATGAGATGGGGGGGGAGTGCCCCGCAGACACCCCCTCCAGCTTGCAGCAGGAGCGCTAGTCCTGCGGCTGATGGTTCTGTGCTTGTCCAGAAAGAACTGGGCCTGAGGGGGGTGTTGGATCCTCCGTAGGTGGTCCTGGGAGTTAGGCTGGTGGTATCTTTCCCCCCAAGCCTTTCCCCTCACCCTGAGGCTAGTGCAGGATCCCCTAGTATTGGCAGCACAGTTCCTTGACTCATTTCCTCCTGTGAACACGACTTCACAAGTGTCCAGGGCAGAACCTCTTACCAGTGACAGCGTGTAAAGCCCCCGGGACTCAGATACCAGAGGGCTGGGGGTGGGTATGGCCCTGTCCTGACGACCGGCACGTGTTCAAAGTAGAAGTCGAGTGGGAATCGAGCTGGGTGCCCGGATCCCTGTTGGGAGGCCGTGTGAGCGCACGGGGTGGGAAAGGCTGGCCGAGTGCCAGAGCAGGGCCCGGGCGTGCTTCTCTGAACCCGCTTGCTCTCTTACGGCTCCCCAGGACGTCATGGCCTACAACAAGCTCAACGTGTTTCACTGGCACATCGTGGATGACCCCTCCTTCCCCTACGAGAGCACAGCCTTCCCGGAGCTCAGCCGAAAGGTAGCGCTCCCTGCGCAGCGCCCTGACCTCTGACGGGCTCCCAGAGCGAGGCCCAGGGCCCCTTCGCCTTGCGGGCCCCCACGAGAGCCGGTGGGAATCCCCCGTGTCCCACAAAGCCGTGTGGGCTCGGTACTGTCCTCTCCCGGTGGAGGTGTGTCTGCCTGTGCAGTCTGTGTGAAGGGGGCTCAGCCCAACTGCTGCCCAGCACCTGATCCTGTCAGCAGCCCTGTGGGAGAGACTGCCGCCCCCTGCGTGCCTGGGCTGTGTGCTGCCGGGAAAGATCAGGTTTGAACAGAAGCCTGGATCACCCGTGAAATGAGTCCAGCGGCTCAGTCCAGGCCCTGGACAATATTCGCATTGCTGAATTGCAGCATGCATACGTGGCAGTGAGGTGTCGGGACCCAGGGCTGGGATAGCAGGGCAGGGGTGGCAGGGCAGGGGCCATGCTGTGTGGGGCGGGGGTGGCGGGGCAGAGGCCGTGCTGTGTTGGGCGGG